TAATCTAATTTACGAAGATTTGCTAATCCTTGACCAAAATTGGAATAAATTCAGAAGTACTCTTGATTCTGCCACCAAGAAATTTATACCTAAAATGAAAATCCGGATAAAGCAACACAAATTGCCAATGAGCTCCGAAGTAAGAGATGTACTTCGAGATAAACATAAAACTTGGAAAGATTTCAAGAAAGAGAAGTCGCAAAGAAACTATGAAAACTACACATCGGCTCGAAACAAAGTCAGGAAATTGACACGACAATGTGTTCGAAAGCACGAAGAAGATGTATCCAAAAGCATCAAACACCAACCTAAAAAGTTCTAGAACTACGTGAATAAGAAAATTAAAACTACCGAAACAATACCGGCTCTCAAAATTGAACCAGACAAGTGGGCCATGAACGACAAAGATAAAGCTGGTACTCTTGCCAACTTTTTCAGTTCTGTATTCACGATCGAAACACCAGGCAGCTGGGAAGTAGTGGATTACCAAGAAAATCAAATATCTGATGACCTCTTTATCTCCAAAGAGACAATCCTAAATGAACTCAATGCGCTAGACACTACAAAATCAATGGGGTCAGATAACGTACACCCTCGGGTATTGCGAGAATCCCAATACAAAATAGCTGAAAGTGATGAGTGGTTTAATGCAAAGTTCTTGGGAGAAAGATGAAATACCAGAAGATTGGAAATGCGCAAATATAACAGCAATTCACAAGAAGGACGCAAAAATTGATCCTAATAATTACAGACCTATTAGCCTGACATCCATTTGTTGTAAAATTATGGAAAAAATTATCAGACGTCAACTGTTTGAATTTTTAGAAAACAACAATATCATATCAGACAAGCAATTCGGGTTTTTACCAGGGCGATCAACGACCCTACAGTTACTGAGAGCACTTGACGACTGGACAGAGGTAACGAGGTAGATATCATCTACATTGACTTCCAAAAAGCCTTTGATAGTGTACCCCACAAAAGACTACTAAACACAATTTCGAGATACGGGATCAGAGGAAAAACTCTCGAATGGATTACCTCATTCTTAACAGAAAGAAAACAAAGAGTGGTGGTCAACGAATGTTTTTTTTGAATGGGCACCCGTCATCAGTGGAGTCCCACAAGGGTCTGTACTGGGACCAATTCTGTTCTTGATATACATAAACTCGATGGGGGATGGAATCACATCCCAAATGCTCCTCTACGCAGATGATGCGAAAATCTACAGATCAGTCACAACTTTAGGTGAAGATGAAGAACTGCAAAATGATCTGAATGTAATTTCGAAATGGGCTGATGGTAGCCTTATGAAGTTCAACATGACAAAATGACATACGCTCACGTTAACGGGAAGGGTAAAACTAGCGGAACGAAATTACACCTTGGATGGGAATACATACCTTAATAATGTTCAAACCGAGAAAGACTTAGGGGTTATCGTTGACTCGAGACTACTATTCCGTGAGCACATTGCCAAGAAAACAAAGTTGGCCAACGGCTTGGTCGCGATAATACGGAAAAGCTTCATCTATCTTAACGCTGAGGTATTAACAACCCTATATAAAGCCCTAGTGAGAACGCACCTGGAATACGCAAATCAGTGTTGGAACCCATACCTGAAACAGGACAAGATCATGATTGAGAACGTTCAACGGCGGGCGACAAAAACTTAGTTACCCGGAAAGACTGAAAGCTCTGAAACTGCCAACGCTGGAGTATAGAAGAAAGCGCGGAAGAATGATAGAAGTCTTCAAAATTTCGAATGGAATGTACGATGCCGCAGCAACGGAAGGACTGTTTACGATCAATGAAAGAGACACCCGAGGAAACCCGTACAAAATTTTAACGAGGAAAACCAAAACAACGGCAAGACAAAACTTCTTCACTATCGCAGCCATTAACGACTGGAACTCATTGCCTGAAAGAATAATATCGAGCGAGAACGTCAACATATTCAAAGCAAGACTTGACAAACAATGGGCGTCCGAAATGTACGACGCATCATTTTTGGAATGACGAAATGGACAGCGACGAAAGAGCTGGTCGATAGAGGCCGAAGCCTATAGACCAGAATTGAACTTGTAAACTTGTGAATGTCATACCGGTTCCCTTTGAGTTCGAATTTTGCGCATTTGTCTAGCGCTAGATTCTAATGGTAGTTGAGCTCAAAACAAGAAAGTACACTTGAAGAAACAACAAAAAAACACGAGGGCATGAAAATTTGAGATAATTTTGTTTTTAATTTGTTTTTCTGAACTAGCTAAGCAGAGTTTTGCACTAACTGTGATAGAAAAGTTACAACAATTTTCAAATATAAGCATCAAATGTTTGTTAATGTTCTACTACTTATTTTTGGCTGCACTTATGGTGCCGCACTAGCAGCTACACGGTACATGGACCATGCATCGCATAGCTGAAAAACTTAGTGAAAAAAGGCATGAAAGCTACTGAGAAACAATAAACTATATAAAAACTAAGTTAATCTTCGCGCTGCCCAGGAGCGCTATCTTTTGTATACGGGGGTGCAGATCACTGCTTAAGACTCAATTCATAGACAATTCAATTAGTGCTATTGTAGAGGAGGGACGGTTGAAGCAAATTCCTTTAATGACAACGCATTAAATGCTGACTTGACTTAATTCCTGCAATATTGTTTAATATAATGCTGATATGGGCCCTATCCAGCTTGAGCACGACCGTACCTAAACGAAAGGGCCCTTCTTATAATTTACCCTTTTTTAAAAGTACATTAATAAACGCCGAAACTTTTCCGAGATAAAAAATTGAAACTTTTCCGAGATAATTGAAGCCACAGCAAAAGAAAAACAACAATGAAGTGAAACAAAACTACTTGATATACAGCCACGGCCTCTTCTTCTCTTAAACCGAAAGTAGACTTCTGTAGATCTTGGTCCACTTACATCGCGGACCTCGATCAACCCAACCAGATTGAACGTACAAATTACATTTGAAGAAACAAAAACACGAGGGCTCAAAAATTTGAACTTCTTAAATGTGTTTTTCCGCACAAGCGAAGCACAGCTTTGCACTCACTTTTTTTTCGGCTCGCTGATTTGTTGACCATCCTAATTTTTTGTGTTCCCATCCTAATTTGACGCTTGCAATTGTCTTTCTTGACATTTTATCATTAGAATGAACTTCATCTGAAGCAAATGCATGTAAGTTTTTGCAGATCTAGTTTTCTTCATTTTTGTTCTGTTTTTATTCTTTTAGTGGCTTTTGCCTCATTTTCTGTGGCTAACTTGCTAGATGTATCGTATGATAGGAGAAGCTCTACCTTGCCGCTGTGCTAATTTTGCTTTCTCTTAAACTTTCTCTAATACTGGAGAAATGTATTCCAGTTGAAAGCAATTACTTGTAGCAGATTTTCATAATCCGTATTTGGAGCGCGTTTAATACGTGGAAATCAATAACTCTGAAAATGATGGATATCTTATATTTTTATTAATATTGATTATTATTATGGATATTGTTTATGGATACATATATAAATGCCAGCTTCACTATCTCGCCACGTTTAAGCATTTTAAACGTATTAATTTTGCATGTTCAAAGAACGAATTTTTTCACGTTTAAGCTATATCGTATAATGCAATGCTTAAGATTTTTTTTTCATTTTCCAGTGATTAAAATGGGATGCTTTCAGGGTTCCCCTTGGAGTTGCGAATTTGGCCTCCATACCCTTGAATACCCTAAGAGATCTGAAATTGAATATTAATTTGCAAAATTTAAAATTCCCAATCCTGTAGACGGGTGTTGTCAGGGTACTCTTAGGAGTTGCAATTCTTGCGTCCAAATGCGACTGCCCAAGTGCTCTTAGTTTCCGAGATGTAACCTTTTTTTTCAAATTTTTAAAGAACTTATTTAAAATTACACAAAATTTAAAATTCCCAGCCTTATAGCGAGACAATTTTATTGCCACGGAACTCTCAGGTGTTGTAAACCTCGCCCCTAAGTATGAATGCTCAAATACGTTTTATGATTTCTTATTAGATATGACGTGTTTTATGATTTTAAAAAAAAAGTTCAAAAAACATTTTTAAAAAATTCAAAGTTTTAATTCCCATCTCTATAGTGAGGCGCCGGCAGGATATTCTCAGGCATTGTACTTCTTACCACCAAATGTGACTGCTCAAATGCCTTTAGTTTTCGATATATGACGTTTTCTAAATGAATTTTTTAAAAACTTTCAGTTAACATAGATGTACAGAATTTCAGAGTAACATTCATGAATTCAGTGATTTTGGCAATTATATTGTTAAATCTGAAACTACCAGTTGTATGCTAACGGTTTTGTTTCTGAGTTGAAAATACGATCTGAAACCCAATAGTTTTGGAGATGTAACCATTTTAGCTTTAAAAGAAATTTCGAGTTGAAATTATTTTTATTGTCCATTTTTTGAATTAAAAAGCGTTATTGGATGCCGTCTTTTGTCCGTGTCTGTACAAAACAGTCCCATTCAAAACAGTCCAATAGAAAACAGTCCGGAAAAATATGAAAATGAACGAAAAAACAGTCCGATACAAAACAGTCCGAAAAACAGTCCCAAATAATAATGGTTTTAACAAGCCGCTAGGCCGAGAATTGTCCTTTGTTCAACAAACATAAAGAACCAGTTAGTGACCGCCGCAGTCGTGCCAACGTATTGCGAGCTTGCCAACGGAGGGTGTGACTTAATACGAAGTTTAGAGCCGGTTATCACCGCCGACCTTAAACCGGACTGTTTTGTATTGACTGTTTTTTCCCTTCATTTCATGATTTTTGGGACTGTTTTGTATGGGACGGTTTTGTATATGCACCCTTTTGTCACCGTTGCATTCATTGTTTTTTTTTCATACTGTATACGCAATCTTCACATTCATCAGTCTGTTAGCAGCACCGGGGGTGCGTTACTCGCTAGTTATTCTTCGCATTTTTAATTTCTCAAGTTAAAACAACGCATTTTGATTGAATTTAATTTAATCATACTGTATTTATTTCAATTTTTAAGTTATCCGCGACAGGCGATTTCTTGTTAAATCATCTTTTAATAGAATATATAGATGTTTTGGTTCCTCCAGTTTCACATGCTGAAATTTAGAATGCTTCTGCTCTTGGCTGGATTAGAACCTCATTGATTGCAACATGCTCGGGTTGACTGACTGCGTACAAAACTGACTGTGCGACATCTTCTGGAGACAAGATTGGATACTTCCCAGCTAGCGTGCCGTCGTACTTTTCTCGTGCTGCGGAGTCGTAAGAGTTTGCAAATATCTCGGTTTCTGCGTTTCCGGGCTCGATGCATGTTACTTTGATGTGGTTTTTCGAAACCTCCTGACGAATGGCTTGAGATAGTCCTTCGATGTAAAATTTGGTTCCACTGTACACAGCTAGACCGGCGAATCCGCGCTTTCCAGCGTCTGAGCTCATGTTAACAATATGTCCCTTCTCGCGTTTGACCATTCCCGGAAGTACAACTCCTATGCAGTTATTGACACCCTTGATGTTGATATCAACAGTTTTATCCCACTCAGAATAAGCTTGTGAGGTCATTTCGGTGTAATGCATGTAGCCTGCGTTGTTGACCAGGATGTCAACCGGACCTAGTGCTAGCTCCACTTTTCGATGCATTTCCTCGACGTCTTTGAGTTTTGTGACGTCAGTCTGGACTCCTAAGCATTGTCCACCTTCCGCTGAAATAGTTTGGGAGATCTCGTTGAGTCGTTCGATGCGTCGTGCCGCCATGCCGACTTTGACCCCTTGTTTGGCTAATAAGATTGAAATGGCCTTCCCGAATCCGCTGGATGCACCAGTTACAATTGCAACTTTTCCTTTGATGTTGTCCATCCTAATAGAGCTGACAACGCTGAATAAAAAGCAAATGTAAGTCAACACAAGACATTGACTAAATTATTGAACAAAATGAAGCAAGCTAGAGCTTCAAAATAAATAAGAATATGCGTTAATCAAGGCTTAGCAATGAACTGGGAGCATCAAAACTTCATTAACATAATATGCGAAACTAACGCTAAATTTTGCGATTCACTTGTATGCACTTAAATTATATCTAGTGATGTGCAGATATAAAAAAAACATGTATGAAGGTTAATCGTATCCAGTGATGTCTATTTAAAAACAAACTATTTAAATTAATTTAAGTTTTCATTTAAATTTCAATTTATTTAAATGTGAAATTATGAGCCCACTCAATTTGAATGAAAGATTCATTAAATAAAAAAAATTAAAATTGCTCCGGCGGTATTTGATCCGACGCCAAAGTACAGAGTTTACTCATGATAATAAATTTCACAGTTCAGCGGAAAAAGCAAACAATCTAAATTTTCACGACAAATTTGATGATTTTTTGTAGCAAATAGATTTGCCCAAAAAATTGCTTTAGATTTTTTTCAAAAAATTATGAAAAGTCCCCAAAATTGGCAGAAAAACTGCTAAAAAACAGAATGACTAACAATTTAAATTTCTAAAGAAAAATTTAAATAGTTTCGGTAAAATTTAAATTGATGCCAACAATTTTTATAATTTTCTTAAACAATTTCAATTTTTCTTTTTTGAAATGGACATCACTGATCGTATCAATAAGGTCCATTTTAATTAAATGGGTTAAAGCATGCGGTTATTGATTAAATAAGTTGTGCAAACCGTGTTTTTTAACCAATTAGTTGATCCAATATTTAAACTAATGGGTATATTGAACATTCTGGCGATATCTTTTTTAAAACTATTACTTTTTTAATTGATTGTGGTTGACATCGTGATGTACGCTAGTTTCCTTTGACCTTTTAGGCACCGGTTTACATTCATAGCCATCAGATTCGGCCTCCTTTTTTAGAGGGCGTTTCCGACAATCCATTACTCTCTCGTCCAGTTCGGGGCTGCTTCTCCGTGGCGTTGTCAATTGCTTTGTTTGCGACAGACTGCCGTTGTATGAGTTATCGGCTGTTTTGCTGACATTTTGTTGACAATTTTGAGCTGATATAGAACCATTAGATTGAATCTGCTCAATTTCAACGCTTTTTGATTGACTATTCGTGGGCTCAGAACAATTAGAAGATCTGTTTGCAGATACAGCACATCCGTGAATTTCATCGTAGAACTGTGATAAACCATTGTCGCCTTTGGTCACTGTGCGTGAATCCAAGGAGTGAGCATTCCAAGAATTACTCATGTCCCAGCCAGCTTTTTCAGCTATGTCCTTCAGCAGATATGGGAACTTGTTCACTCCTATGGGTTGATCACAGTACCAGCTGTTAGGGCGTGGTCTCGGGTGGGGTTTGTTGTAGAAGTTTTGAGACAACTTAGGGATAAGAGATATGTATTTTTTCATGATTTCTACTGGGCAATAGGGTCCTCCGGTTTTTCGCATATATACCGGTGGTCGCGGTTGTCCTGGTTTCAAGTTGTAGCTGTCAATAAACTCAATATGCTCATTGTCCCCTTCACCTTTCAGGTTTATTTGTGACGAGGGGTTCCATCGAAGTTCACGATGATGTGCTCTTGCTCGGACGCCGAAGTGCTTGGAAACGAGGAAGTAAATTGTGACCAGAAGTTTTTTCGGATTCTCGGCTCCTAATAAGTTTTTGTGCCATAAATCTTTTTCCATCTCAGGTGTGATAACACCAACATTCAATGACAGTCGTTGGATGCCCAGAGCTCTGGAGGCCGCTTTTCTGTTTTCAAGTGCCACGCGGAACTTCTGATAATCCATGTCCGAGTAAACGTTGAAGCTGTTGTTGATATTTTTGATCGTCATTTGAAGAATTGATGTCATGTGGTTGAGTGTCTGAGGACTGAGTTGTTCGCCTTTTTCCGATTTGACTTCAGTTATGAACATCGTCAAGTATTCCGGAGCCAGGTGACGGAAATCGGTAATCAACATATCCAAAGTGCACGGTATGAAACAGGAAGAATCATCTTTCTCATATTTGGCCTGAGCCCATGAGTTCCACTTATTCTGCAACCATCTGATAGACTGGTAGGATTTTTCGGCTAGTTGAGAATTGCTTCCTATGACCATCCCGTTTACAGTCCGGACTCCGTTGTCATTAGGCGAAGTTGAGCTGGATTCGACAAGTGCGTGATAGTCGGTTACGTCATCCATGTGACAAGTCGGCGACATTCTTCCTTGGTCGTGGAATATCGTGAATGAATCTACCGAATCACTAAAAGGCGATTTCGTCTTCTCGAGAATTTCCTCCGGCTTCTCGGGGTCCTCCGTATTCGACTCCGCGTCCATGTTAAGGTGCCTGGGTATGCTCGGCTGTTGAAATCTTTCGGAGATGTAATTTGTTTAAATAGGTAAGTAACCGCGTGAGTTGAAGGAAAAGTGCCACTGCCTTTTATATGACTCGAAGATTAATTTACACTACTCTTTTTTGTAAAATGTGTGCAATAATTTGCGCGGTTTTTATATTATCACTTGACGTCAATTCATTAAACATGGAGATTAGCTCTATGGTGCAGGTTTCTTTTAAGCTATTGGTGAAGACGGTCAGATTTCTTTCATGCGCAAGTCAAAATGCTGCACGGGTTGTGTAAATTAGCAGACGATACCAACATTAAACTGTACAGTTCTAATGGAAACGTATGTTTTTTTTTCGAATTGAAGATGCACTAAAAGTCAGTGTTGAAGTGAGTCAAATTATGACGCACGTTCTGAATAAGTTGAGAATGGACTGAAACTGAAAAGTGTGCTGATGTTGCCTGAAGTAAGTTTGAGTTGAGAAAGTGAATTGAATTGCACAATCTAGTTAATTTCGCTGTGCAGCGTCGTATCGTAGTGGCAGAAGGAACGGAACAAAATGGCTGTTTGCGTTGCGTGGTACGATAAAGGTGGTTGGTTTGCGCTGAATTGAACTGAACTGAACCGAGTTTTGTTGGATTTGTTGTGCTATAATGAATGATGCGTTAGTTTAGCGGTGGCGTGGTGGTGGTAACGATGTTCTGTTCTGTTCGGTGCTATAGTGTATATAACCGTCTGCGTCAGCCTGAAGTTGCGATATTGAACGCTTCAGTTGCAAATGGAGCACAGAGCACTAGTATTCTAGTAGTCTTAGTACGGTATGCAAAAGTGTGCTATGTTATGTTACGCTATTTAGTAGTGCGGTGGTGATGGTGGTGGTTGTTGTTTTGCTGAACTGATGTATTTGTTAATGCATTTGCGTACTAAAAGTGTAGTGTATTAGTGTGTTTCTGTTCTCTGTCCTGTGTCTTTCTTTATGCAAAAATAATTCTTTACTTATGCATTGCATTATGCAACAACAGTGCGGTACAATAACGAGATGTGCATTAAGAACAAGTACGTAGTTCTGGGACTTGTGTTTATCTTAAATTTCAAATTTATAATTTAGCTTGCGAAGTTAACTAAAGGTGATTATGAACTGAAACTGATTTAGAGAGTGTGATGTTTGCCGTTTGCACACCCTTCGGTGTTGGTGCACTGTGAATTTGAGTTATGGTGCTCTGGGGTTATCCAAATTTAAACCGAATTTAAGACTCTTAGCCCTTTAAGAGCGAAACAAACAAAATTTTACTGCCTAAGTCCAAATCTACGAATGTTTTAAAAAAAGGTTGGACCTACGATGTTTTAAAAAAATACGGACACTTGTAGCATGGTAAACCCAGTAAAAGTATGTCCACTGACGAGATTTTATAGATCCGAGTCGGTTGCTATTTCAGTTGAAATAATTTATCAAAATACCTGATGGTTTTTGGAGGTGGTTCCAGTACGTTTCTTTGAATCTGCTTTGCGAACAAGTTTCCCAGGTATGCATTATCAGCCAACGGGTACGTCGGCATATTGAACGCCTTCAGTGCCGCGTTGGTTCCCTCAGCAGAGAACTTAGTCTTCTCCAGGTTGAACAAACTGTTGTTACTGTTCATTTCTTTTAGTAGATTTTTAACTGTAGCCTTCAGTTTAGTCGAAGCGAAATTTTGAACAGTATCAATCCATTCATTGAGAGGCTTGGGTTCCAACTTGTATCCGAAGTTGGACATCCACTGAAGCAGAGTTTTATCATCCAAAGGCTGAGGTTGGACCAAATTGAAGGTCTTCCCGTTGACGCTTCGGATATCCTGCATGCAACATACAATAAATCTGGCTATGAAATCAGCGGGAGTCTCCTCGAGAACCCAGTCTACGTTAGGGACACTGCCAGTGACAGTGATTGCCTGAAGAAGAGCTAAGTTCAGGTCCTGTGGGTTCCAGTAGCAATTGACAGAGTCACCGCCGATGTTTCCAGGACGATAGACGACAATTGGGAGACCTCGTTCTCTAGCTTTGGAGACGAGCTGCTCAGATACCCATTTGGACTGTCCGTAGCCCTCTGAAAATGAATTATTTCTTTATAGAATTATCCGATTTAATGCCAAACTTTATTAATATTCAAAGAAAGTTTTTTGTAGATTGAGCTTTTCTTGGACGGAACTTGTATCATTTGCTTGTTTTACGGAGTTTATTCTTTTTGAAATTCTAGTTAAGATACGGTAAAATGGCTCACCGACAAGATCAGAGGCATAATTATCCAGATCCTCTTCTTCTTTGTAAGTGTATCCCGGTCGTGCAGGGAACACAGCATTGGTACTTATATAGTGCAGAGGTTTGATCTTGGCTGCACCTGCCAAGTTAATCATGTTCTGGGTTCCAAACACGTTAGCTCGTCGCAAAGCAGCGTAGGGGTAGACCAAATTGACCTAAAAGCTTGACAGTGAGCTGGTCTTGCAATGTGTTTTGTTTTCCAACTTTTTTATCTCGACAAAATTTCAGCGTATTGTTTTTCGTACTTTTAATTAGAAGTCTACTTGAATCCACAAGAAAAGATATCATTGACAAAGTATTTTTGTGTAAGTCAGTGAACGTAGTAAAGACACTTATATAGTTCACGATGATTTTTTGTTGAAATTTGGGAGGAGTTTTATATTCGGGTGCGTTTTACTTTTTTTCGTTTTCCACGAAAATCAGGTACAACAAATAACATTAATATCATATTAAAGTCCTTTCAGTTGTGCTTGGAACGACAGAAAAAATATTGAAAATTTTTTATCAGTGTCGAAAAACCGGTTAGAAGTTTGTGATTTTTGGTTTAATTTTGAGCTAGTAAGGTGAGCATGCAGGCCTACATGCTCACCTTGCTTTTTTTTATAAATGTGGTCAGAACATTCTGTGCTTCTTGCACAGCAACCGGGTTTCCTTGTTCTTTTCGAATTTTGTTTTTTATGCTGCTTGTAAATTTCCATTTCCGGTTTTGTATAATTTCAGTTGTTGGTACGACCATTGAAAATGGGGAGGGACTTTGTATTCGGGTGTTGATTTTGTTTGTTTTTGCTTTCCACGCAAAATCTGATACCACAAATAATCATCGGACTGGGTTGAGTCATATATTTTATTAAAACCCTCTCCAAAAATTGATTGTCGAATACTGCTAAGCTCTAGTTTATCGTTCAGATCCTTTTATCACACCACGCAGAAAAAAACTGCAAAAAAATTGAACATTATATTTTTTGTTTTTCTAGGAATTTTTCTCCAAAAATTATTGTTCAATTTGCATTTTATACTATGATTGTCGATTATTGCTAAGCTCTAGTTTATCGTTCAGATCCTTTTATCACACCACGCAGAAAAAAAACTGCAAAAAAATTGAACATTATATTTTTTGTTTTTCTAGGAATTTTTCTCGAAAAATTATTGTTCAATTTGCATTTTTTACTATGATTGTCGATTATTGCTAAGCTCTAGTTTATCGTTCAGATCCTTTTATCACACCACGCAGAAAAAAAGACTGCAAAAAAAAATTGAACATTATATTTTTTGTTTTTCTAGGAATTTTTCTCCAAAAATTATTGTTCAATTTGCATTTTATACTATGATTGTCGATTATTGCTAAGCTCTAGTTTATCGTTCAGATCCTTTTATCACACCACGCAGAAAAAAAACAACACTAATTTGAAAAAAGTTAAGGTTTCCCAGCGAAATAAAAAAGTTATTTTTTAATTCAGTTTTCTCTAATTAGGCTAGTTTTACGAAAAAAAGTGTTGATCAGAAAATATTCTTGAAATTTGGAGACCTTCAGTGTGATGAATATAGTTTTTCGAAATCAAACATTTCAAACAGTTATATATTTTTTCTGTTTTACCAAAGTTCATTGACTTTTCAACTGTTTGTTGGCTATGTTTTTGCTTTTTTGACTGGGAAAGGTTGCCAAACCATCAGCAACGATGAACCGCCTTTTAAGTCGGTATAAATGCTACTTCAACTTGGCTACATTTTATTTTGTTCAAAGCATGATAATTTGTCAAAACGTTGCCAATCTTGAGAATAATGATTACCTGAGCGGCAGCATGTATAATTATATCCACTTCATACATCAGCATGTTATAAGTCTCCTCGTCCACTCCTAGCTGCTCAAGAGACAGATCTGCCTTAATCACAGTCACCCGTGAATCGAATGCATCCTGAATCATTTCTTGTAGTTCACTTGGTTGTTTGGTCTTGTCGGGCAGGATCATGGCTTCTTTCAGACTGTTTCTCAGTCGTGATTCAACTGAGACACCGTTGCCGGCTTCACGCACGATGCAGAACACATAGCATTGGGTCTTCAAAAGTAGCTCCTAAAAGCAAACGAAAAGTGGGGTTTTTGATGGATTGAATTCATTGTAAAATTATCCTAGTTTAAAAACCCAACACATCTAACGATGCCGTTGAAAGTAAAACGTAACTTCTGGTAATTTCTCAGAGAACTTGATTAGATTCAAAGATCATACCTGTAGAATGAATCCACCTAGAAACCCAGTGGCTCCTGTAAGCAATACATTAGCTCGTCTCCATTTGGTATCGAGGAGTGCAAATGATCTCCAGAATGCCCTGAGTTGGATGTCGAAGTTCCTCTCTGGCTGCTCGTATTTGGTCACTTCTTCCTGGAGATCTAGTTCCTCTACTAACTCGCTGTCAATCTTGGTGCCCAATTTGCGGCTCTCAATCAGCTTAAAAAGGAGTACAATTGTTATAATTTGGAAAGCAGCTCCACAATCCTTATGTGCCGGAAAAGCGCAATGGAAAGTTTGATGGACAATCATTATCACCTTACTGAACTATTGTTTCATAGCATATATGCAAGTTTTTTCGAAGTTGCTCGCAAACTTCGAATATCTCAACAGCGGCGTTGTTTTCTTAGTATTATTACATTTGGATTATTGTAATTTGGACATAGACTGGATCATTACAGGCTAACAATTGGCTAACAGACTTATTTCGTCAAATTTGACAGATTTAGAGCATATTTGGGATATATATTACAATAGGTGGAAGATTCAATTTAAATAGCTGGATCGCTCCTTGTTATGCTTCGAACAGTATTTGTGATTTATTTCAAAGTCAATTTTTTTGGCAAGGCAAAAGAAGCGTCGTCTGGCAGAGTAATGTATATTCAAAAACTATCTTAGTAGCAGTTGAAAATGACTATCTTATGCACAAGAGTTCTCAATTGTAATCCATGCACTACTCAATTATTTCTCAAAATTACCACCTATTGTAACATATCACCAGAGCATGTTGCATTTTAAATACTCATTGTTCCGAACATTAAAAATGGAGAGAAACTTTGTATTCAGGCATGTTTTAGTTTTTTGTTTTCGATGCAAAATCAGATATCACAAATAATTAGCATATTAAAGCCAGTCGTGATTCGAACGGCATTAAACAGTTTTCAAAGTTGTCCCGTGTCGAGAAAAACCGGTTTGAATATTTTGATACTTAGTGTTATTTCGAGCGAGTTAAGCGTTCTATAAGCGATATATTACACCCGCCAGCGTAGTGTATTAGAATGACTTTTTATCGAACCTGACTCGCAAATAAAAGTATCATTTGGTGGCTTTTTTGCTATAATCACGATCTGTAGCATTGGAAATTTCATAGCATCTGTTTTCTGCTTTTATTTGTGGCTAGTTTTGCTGACCGTTAAGCGTTAGTGGCCGAGAGGGATGGAGTTCGAAACGTAGCAAAACTGTAACTTATTCGAGGCTTATCTCTACTCCTTATTTATTTTTAAAGTGGTGTTTTTTGTCGTTTTCTCGCTTCCATTTTTTCCTGATTTTGTTCAGTTGCAGTTTTTATGTAGGCTTAGACTAGCCAATGAGATTTGTCATTTGATTTGATTTGGTCAGTCTTATTTTATCTGTTACTGACCTCACAAGTTTGGGCAAGATATTCATTCTTGAGTCAATTTTCTTTCAAATTCGTTCAATTTTTTTTGATTGAGAGTGGCTCTAAAAGAATGACTAAACTTTCTTCCTCTTATCTGCAATAGAATCGGATATGTATTTGTTGTCAATTTCACAGACGTAAAAAACTTGTGTTGTTTCTTATGAGTGTGACCGGAACATTCTGTGCCTCTTGCACAGCAACCGGCTGTTGTTAATTTCCATTTCCGATTAGTATGATTTCATTTGTTGTTCTGACCATTGAAAATGGGGACTAACTTTGTATTCGGGTGTTAGTTGGTTTTGTTTCTTTTTGTTTTCCACGCAAAATCAGGTACCACAAACAATCATCGGACCGGGTTGAGTGATATATCATAATAAAACCCTTTTAGTCGTGATTTGAATGACATTTAAAAACTACCAAAAAATTTTCCTAGTTTCGAGAAAAACCGGTTTGACATTTCGATTTTTCTTCTAATTTGGAGCAAATAAAGCGGGCGAGCAAGCTTACAATAGCTTATAATAGCTTAGTTTAAGCCGTAAAAACATAGTTCTACTCAAGTAAACTACTAAGATTTAGTTTTTGTTCAGATCCTTTATCACACCACGCAGAACAAAAGACACTTATTTGAAAAAAAAATTATATATATTTTTTCTAGATTATGGTCGGAACATTCTGTGCTGCTTGTAGAGTTACCGGCTATCCTATCTTTTTTTTAAGCTTACTTTGCTGTTTTCAATTGTTGGGGGCTTGAAAATTGGCGGTTGGGGGCTTGAAAATTTCAATTTTTGAAACCCCGCAAGGAATAACCCCTTTTTCCCAAAATGATCAGGAGGGTCCTCGCAACTTATGGAATACATTTTTTTTGGCTGAAGGCGTATGGTCTAGTATCGTCGGCTTAGGTCCCATTTTGTTAATGCTTTTCAATGCTTGTTTGACTCTAGCAGTTGTCTTACTGAGCTGAGCCATTTTCTCAAAATGAACTGCATTCAAGATAAACCGAGGCAAACATGAAAATTTTAGGTCTAGTTTTTTTAACATTTTTTCAACTTCGCTTTTTTTGTCTAGTTTTCTATCGGATAGCTTGCCATGCTATCTTAGGGTTTTAATGCAAGTGATGCGAAGCTCCGTCTCGGCTCTATGTTCCCAATTTTTTTTCTACCTTAGCTAGTTGCACTATGCTAGGAAACTGGAACAGCTCGTGCACTCTGAGTTCGACATTGAGTTGGTCGTACACCATCTCCAACATGTAGGTGGCTGCTAGACTGTGTCCTCCCAGGTCGAAGAAAGACTCTGTCACGTCTATCGTCTTCATATGCAACACCTAAACACAACATCTTATCAAGCGCAACATTGTTTTGGAGATGCTTTATTGCCATTAAACAATTAAAAATTTCTCCGTTCTTATGTCATTGAAAATTGTATTACTCTGATTTCATTTCGACTGTGAAGAAAATAATCGTTGTGTAATGGGATCCGGAAATAATCGTATCTAAATCTTTAAGTAAGACTCACCTTTTTCCATATCTTGTGCAGTTTCTTCTCGATTACGTTTTTGGGGAGACTTTCTGGGTCGTCTTCGAAATCCACGGAGAGGGAGAGAGAAGGAGACCTCCATTTGTGAGAAGAAGCGGCTTTTGTTGCAGCCGGAGGAAGTCTAAAAATAGTTTCCGAATTTCTTGTAGCAAACCTTGTAAATTGTTTTTTGAATAATTTTAGGCCATCAGTGTTTCTGTCTGGCCTATTATCTTCCTCTCGATACTGTAATCTCTCTAAGGGTGGCATTAAAAAGGTCATTCATATTTCAATTTATTCGTCGGCTTGGTTAACAGTGTTAGAGCTCATTATTTAAAGCTGACAAATAAGGTAGATAATTCAAGTTGATTGATCACTCACTGTTTTTTGTCCATCTTAGCCGACGATTGGAGTACTGGCAGCTTGTCCATGAACATAAAAGTTGCCGGAATCATGTAGAACGGCAACAGTGTCTTCAACTTGCTCCTGATCTCACGCTTGATATTCACATGCTGACTGCCCGCATCCCCGCCGCTCGCCTCTTCGCTGCGATAAGATGACGTCAGAATGACGTAAGCTACCAAGTACTTGTCGTCTCCCTCCTCGCCCTCGGCAAGCACGACACAGTTTTCGACCATCGGAAGTTTGCTTAGGGCGTTCTCGACAGCTTTCAACTCAATTGAGTAGCCTCTGATTTTAACCTAAAAATAATCAGTTTATCAATCTAAAATCACAGCTTTTCATGTTTTTCCTCTGTTAGTCCTTTAGTTTTCTTTTTGCTTTTTTGCGGTGAGTTTGAGATATGTTAAGAAGTGACTTTATGCAGGTAAAAAGGAACATTTTTGTTTTCAATTCGACTTGGTGATAGCTACATGCCTTTTTCTTCAAAAAACCATCCGAATTCATTGAAATGTGCCTCAATTTTAAATAACAAGATATTATTGATGAAAAAACTTGATTGACACTTGGGAACTCTTATCTTACCATGGAGTCGCATCTGCCGCATATCTCCAACTTATTGTTTGCCAGCAAGTAGCCCCAATCTCCAGTCCGGTACAGTTTCTTCCCAAAAGAGGCCGGTACATTGGGAGGTCTGTCGATAAAGCGCTGCTTCGTCAGTTCCGGTCGGTTCAAGTAGCCTAAAATTCACTCAGCGAACGTGATTGACCACCAGTTTAATGGGTGCAAGTGCTGAATAATTATTATCAAAAAAATTTTGATTTGCAAAAGCAAAGATTTTTATTTCCAGACATCAGCATTTGCCAACCGTTAGAAAACGATTTTATTGCACCACTTGCATGAATCATTTGTCGTTCCGACTAATTCTAGTAGCGCGAAGCAACGAAAACTTATTGGGGGTTTTTAGGTCGCATGATTTTAAGTACCCCGAACAAAGCTCGTACGGGGCTCAAGTTTCAAATCGTGTTGATGAGCTTAAGACATGGTTTCAGAGTTGATTTGGACGAGTATATAAATAAAGGTGCCTGTGTTTTGTTTCGGCCAATGAAAATGGGGAGGAACTTAGTCTTCTGCCGCATTTTAATTTATTTTTAATTCTCCACGCAAAAAGTTGTTTTTATTCTACACGCAAAATCAGAGACCACAAATAATCATCGGAATGCCTCGAGTAATAAAGCCTTTTCAAACGTGATTCAAACGACATTTAAAAATTTCCGAAGAGTTTTTCAGTGTCAAGAAAACAGAATTATTTTGCAAAATTTTTAACTATAGCCAACAGACAGATGAAAGGATCAATGAACGCAATAAAGCAGAAAAATTTTGACTTGTTTTTTGAAAAATTCATAACCTTCGAATTTCAAGAAAAAATAGATGGCTTTCAAGTTTTTCGAATGTCTAGAACAATTAGCGATTGACTCTTTTTTTCGATAAAGTTACTCAATTTGAAGAAACTGGATGGATTCATAAGGAAAATTTTCATTTCGCTGTGAAATCTGAAAATAAAATTCCACTTCCGAAACTACACGTCGATGATCTTTTTTTTTGGCTTTTATACTTTTGCTGTTTGATTGTGAAGTTTGCCTCCACATTAATAAAAGAAATTTACTGGACTGGAAAAAGAAATCAAACGTCTAACCGCGAAAAAGCAAATTAGAGAGTGAACAAATTTTAGACTTTTCCCGAAAAAAAATCACGGCCTATATAAGAGTCTGAACTACGCTCATCGACTCTTGAAAAATGGTTTGTAGTTTTTTTGAAGACAACTATTGTTGATTATGCCTAATTCACTAAAAAACTAAATGTCTACGCGTTCGACTAGTTCTCTCATCACAACACGCATTTAATTAACGACTTCCATTTGATTATTTTTATTAATGATCGGAACTTTCTGTGCTACTTGCACAGAAACCGGCTATCATTTTCTTTTTTGGATTTGCTGTGAAAACGACTGAACTTTAGTGTTCTTTTGATAGTGCGCTCTTTAATTAGAGTACAGCTTCAAAAATTTTTGGTAAAAAAGTTACAATAATGTTAAAGCTATTTTTTTATTCGCCAATATTCAATATAAAGTAGTTAAACTTAAAACTTGAGTCGTATATGGATTCAATTTGACCAACTAGCTGGCCTCATTTCAGTTTGTAAGAGTTTTGATTGACGTTAAGCTTTCGGTATCATATATAAAATGTTAAAAGTGCGCACATGTCAGTCCAGAACATTGCCAATTTTCAAACCTCTAGAACATTATTATCAAAAAGGCTTGCAGGTGAAACAGCTTTTTACATTTGAGCTCAAAAAAATGATAAGGTGATATAAGAGCGCCCCAAGCATATATGTATTCTTTACTTTCTTCGAAAATCGGAACAGTAATTTTGATATATATTTTTCAGTTTAGAACAATATTCATCGCTTTAATGCTCTTTGACATAGAAGATTCTTTGACAACTTTATAAAACTTAAATGTTCGAGAAAACTGGATCAAACGCTGGGCTTTCTATAATAAAAAATTTTTGAATCAAAAGTTTCAAACACCATTTTTGCACTCTCCGCGTTTTTTGCTTTCCATCTGGAAAAGGAATTTGAAAGCTAGCTTTAAAATAAATTTTCATCAAAATATAAAACTTCTAACTATGAAAAAACAGCCCAAGTAAGTGATCTCAGATTCTGCCAATTTCTTTCAGTTGTAAGCTTTTCTTGAAAAAAAAAGTATGGCCCAGATCAAGGGCGGATCTAGGATTTTCTCGAGGGGGCGGCGGATTTTCAAAAATTTTGTCGATCTTTTTTTTTAGGTCGACCGAATGGATTTTCCGAGCTCTCACAACGCACAAAAAAGACCTCTGTTTTGGTCAAATTTTCAACGCCGCAGACAAAATTTTGAAAATGAGGCCAAAAGACGCATTTTTAGGCACTTTTTGAAAATTGTAACAAAATTGCGTTTTTTTTTGCGCGCGCTCCCCCCTCAAAGTAGGTATATATTGACCTTAGAAAATTTTTAGGGTCCGTCACCAAATATGGATATCCCAAAATAGTACAAAGGGGGACCCTTTGGGTCGGCAGGGGGTCGAATACCTGGCCCGAAATCCGCCCCTGGCCCAGATCTCAGATCCCATTGTCTAAGAATGATTCTGTTTATTTCCTGCTTTCTGATTTTTTTTGTTCATTCAATATTTCAAGATGTTGTATCCCTTTTCAAGCCGTCCATGTGCCATGGCAATATATCAATTATGAGTTGCAAAAGTCCAAGCAGGCTTTAAAGTAGTCAAGTTCTTGCTCTGGCTGTATTTCAAAACCATTTTGATTTACCAATCTTTCCTTGATGCCCTAGCTGCCTTTGGTAAAGTTAATCCAAAGAGCTTTTTACAATTCCTCCTTATATCTTCTACCAAGTCAGGGTATTATATCCCTGCTTTGAGCTGTCAATCGTAATGTTTAGTAAAAAAAAGTTACCTTATCGTAGTTGTAATGAAGGACTGTATAAAGAGTCTAACCGACGGCCAATGTGGGACCCCCCACAAATATCTCGCCCGCCACTCCCACCGGCTGCAACTGCATGTTGTCGTCCAGGATGGCGATGGAGACCCCGTCGAATATCCTCCCCACTGGACAGTACTTTCTCTCTTCGTCAGTTGACCACTTGCTCAAATTCTCCATACATACGTCGTGACATTCAGACACACTGTACAGGTTCACAATGGTCGCCTGATTGTGGGAACAAATTAGATTTATAGGATAAGATTAAAGATGTTTTCTCGTTTTTTTTGTTGTTTTGGGTAAATTGGAAACGCGTTTAATTAAAGTTTTGATCTCAATCAGGATTTGTTCTTGCCAGCTTTTGTACATATTTTTCAATTGACCGTCAGTCTGACTAAGAACATCTATGAGCATTATTTAATCACCATAAGATGAAGTTACCGACCTTCGGAATCTGTGCCACAGTCCTCTCAAGTAGTTTAGTCGTGACCACCTCTCCGCACAACACAATATGAGTCAAGGACAGTGAGTGGAGAGGGGGCAGGTTGCGGGCACTGATAACCACTTCAAGTAGAGATGGAGTGACGAGTACTCGAGTGATCTTGTGCTTGATGAAGTAGAGCAGCAGTTGTTTGGGATCATAGATTGTTGTCTCTGGGATAATGTACAGTGTCCTTCCTTAAACGGAATCACTATGTTTTCACATAAAATTAGAATATTATTTTTTTTGTTTATTTCGCAACAGATCGCTGAATATTGTTTTATCATGTATTTTGAAGACATCACTGTGCTTAAGAATGATTTCATTGTTTATGTGCATTGGCAGTAAGAAACCTTTGAGAAGTGGTCGCAACATTTCCCAGACAAAGAACACATTACACGCCACCCTCTCTTCAATGCTGTCGTCATAAGGGTAGTCGAGATGTCTCCTGTTGTAGCTGAACACAGCACCCCTGTGGGGGTTGAGGATGCCTTTGGGTTTTCCGGTTGTCCCACTTGAGTAGACGGCGAAAGCGAGGTCATCCAAAGTCATCTTAGGAGGTGTCCATTTATATGTTGCAGATGCATCGTCTGGAAAAGTGTCAAAAATAAACTGAATAATTGGGAAATGTTTTTTATTTTTTTTTTGTAATTTCACATTATTCCTTTCAAATGACCAAATATTGGACTTCTCGCTTAGCTTTGGAGTACCATTTTTTCCGGGATTTTCTCATCTTTACTAAATTTTTCAATTCGAGTGAAGATGTACAGTCACGGGACATAGAAGCTGCAAATTTTTGATTTGAACGAGAAAATGAATGAACTTTTCTTCACGTTTTGTTCGTTTTCTCGGCAGTTCTTTTAGATATAGTTGAAATTTTGAAACATGCTAGATTAAGCTATTTAGAAGGATTTAGCCGGGCCCAATTTTGAGAAATCTTGTTTCGAAGGCCTAAATTAGCCAGTATCTCAAAACTAGTTTTATATGTGTTCTTGCTGTGGAAACATCCTCGCAAACATTATAAGGAATTTGAATTAATGGGCTCAAATTAGTTCTTTGAGAAACTGATGAGCTTGACTTACACCCTATGCCGCCGAATAACGACAAATAACAGAGTTGAAAGAGTTACTTGGCCCGGCTTTAAAAAACGGCATACATTTATGACTAATTTTGCGCTGAGTATCAAAATAGTTCAACAAAAAACTATTCCATCAAATATTTTGAAAAAATACTGCTCCAATACGTGCAAGGATTCTCAGTAGCAGTTATTGTGTGTGTAATTTTCTCAACTTTCTAGTATAATCTCCAAAAAACAGATTTGACAGTTTTTCGACGCCGGGCCAAGTAACTCTTTTAATTCTGTTATTTGTCGTTATCTAGCAGCATTTACGCTTTCGAAACAAGATTTCCCAAGTTTTGGACCGGCTAAGTTCATCCAGATAGTTTAATCTAGCATATGTCGAAGTTTGAACTCTACATGTTAAAGAACTACTGAGAAAAGACAAAAACGTGAAAAAAAAACTTCCGTTCAGTTGCAATCAAAAAGTTTATTCGAGAAAGAGTTCACTTCGATTAAAAACTTAGTGCAGATGATGAACACAGGCAAAATTTCAAAGAAGATAAGCGTAGATCAATTGCTATGGATCCGTGTAAAAATTTAATTTAGAGTCTCAGAGATTGTTGTCGAAAGTATCCTAGAAAACAGGCATTTTAGAAAGAAAAACCCAAATTTGCTCTCAATTTTGTCCACTAGTGTAGTTAACCGAAAAGGTTTGATAGTCACCGTTGTTATCCAGTTCATCCCTCCAGAACCCATCATCGTCAATTATGAACAACTTGCTGTTGCTTCCACTCTCTTCTAGAATCTTCTTCATCTTCTCCTGGGCTAGACTGACAGTGGTGATTATACACTTGGGAGTGGCGTCTTCTAGCACTGACATAAGGAGTGCGTCTGGGTTGCTGATGTCCAGGGGGAGGTACCCACCCCCTGCCTTCATGATGCCAATGTAGCAGGTGGGGAAGGAGAGACACTTAGGAAGGTAGATCACAACTGTTAATGAAAAAGATATCGCATTAACTTTCCTGCTATAGTTGAAACATAGCCAATTTTTAGTGTATAGGAAAAATGGATCAATACGTAAAACTTTTATTTCGCTGGGAAATCTGATAATAATTTCCATTTTTGGAATCTGAAGTCAATCCCGTTTTTTTGTGACCTTTACACTTTTGCTGTTCGATAGTGGAGTTTGCCTTCCTTTTAACAATGGAAATGCACTGAACTTAAAAAGAAATCACAAGTCAAACCGCGAAAAATTAAAATCGAGAAAATTTTTTAAAAATCAGCAAGACCTATCTATATAAGAGTACTCACTACGTTCATTTCTCTTAAAAGAGTATTGTCAATTTGGATTCTTAAAGAACTCTCTAGATTGTGTCATCTGTTTTTATTTTTCCCACATTAGTTTTGATAAAAAATCTTCGCTTTATTAGCGGAAGGGAGCCCAATATTAAAGGACTTCATTTCGACTTAAAATAAAGGTGAATCTCTGCGTTAAAAAACTTACCCAAATCTCCAACTTTTATGTTTGCCTCTTGTTGAAGCCATGCCGCAAGCAGTGTCGAATTGTGATCCAACTCCCTGTAGGTTTGGGATTTCTCTTCGAAATACACTGCTGTCTTCTCATAATAATTCGGACATTCGCGCGAGAACCATTCGTGCAGACAGCCGAGTGATTGATAGTCGGTTTCGGAGCTCATTTTTTGTACTTCGATATAGTTTGCAGTGATAAAGTTACGAGACGCTATCTGAGATTCCTCTGTAAATTGCTTATTGATTCAGTTTAATTTGATCACATAGTTTAATTATCGGTAATACAGATTCTTTCATGATATGATGAGGTCTTATCTCTGTTTGAAGGGTATATTACTCAGCTAAATAAATTAGAAATATCTTAAAATAACCTGGGTTTTCAAATCATGTGATTTTTTCTGAATACACTACTACTTTGGTGTGGCAGTGGCAAATGCTGTTTAGGGAATTCAAAAACATGCATGACGGGGTCGCGATGTGGGGGAGCAGGGATGGGTTCGCGGAGCTTCGTTTTTTGCTGAGTTGTGCAATTTTGAAGCGAGCCAATTTCTCATTTTTATTTTTTCCATAATAGAATTTTTAAAATTAATTTTTGAGCACTTTGAATGAATGTTCTTGGCCAATTCCCCCTCTTAAAACCGGTTATTTTCAGTTTTAGCTCTCAAAATTTGTCTTTTTACTTTGAGAAAATCCGACCTGCCTCTGATACTACATTGAAATGAAGCTAACAGCATGTTATGATTCTGAATGAGTATCAGATCTACAGTTGAAAATTAGTTAACTTACTTGATTTTTTTATCAGGAACAACACCGGTGGTTTAAAACGAAAATAATACCTGTTGAAATTAAGCAAAATTGCTTTTGTTTATATTGTGTGGGCTCGTTTCCTCTTTCATTAATTTTTGCCGATAAAAAGTAGCCCTTTTGCTTTTTTGAAAATTCACTGAATAAAAGAATGCAGCTAAGTCAATGGGTAAAACAATGCGGGGAAGCAATCTGATTTAGAGTGTTATAAAGGAGCCAAATGGGAATAGCTAGATGAGCTCCACTGGTTAGAAAGCGAGCTAAATAAGAACTTGCTGGGAGGATTTCTGGCCCGATCTAGTAAGAAATTGGAAATCATTAACTTCTGGCCTTAGGCCCAGAAGTGCTGCAAAGTCAAAAGCCTTGTAGATGAATTGCCCACGTAATTGCATTAAGCGCCTCCAATCTCCTTCCCTCTAACTTCCTTTGTTTGAACCGCCTCAGTTAGTCGGGTCATTTTTTCAAGATTCATAAATGTCTTGGTTAGTATAAAAAAGGAGAACCCTATTTTTTCTCATATTTATAATTACAATATTTTTGCCGATAAAATCAGTGCCCTGTATCCAGAGGTTGACTAGAATATAAAAATGGTTTTGTGTTTTTTTTTTCGCTAAGAAGGGACATCATTACGGATCATTGCCATTTATGGTCATCATTTTAACTGAACTTCCCTTCAGGTGATTGGTGACTTTAACGTCAGGAGCTGTCAATGGTTTGGCGTTGTATTAAGTGCCATTGAATAGAAGGGATGCTTACTTTCTTCTTTCTTTTATTTGCTTCTTAAGTAGAGTTAATCAGATGAATTGCAACGAATTTTGACTGCTTACCTTTTTTGTCCTTGACCAATTTCACTAACTTATTGAGAAGATGATTTGAAAATTTGACGAATGAGTTTCTTGAAATTATTTATTGTTCACGCATGCTAAGTAAACGATTTTTGTGAGTTTGATATTTAGTGTAGCAAAATTTGAATAAACATTTATATTGGCGGTTTCACAAGCATTAAATTGCAAAAACGCTGTGTAATATTTTGATTCGTATATTCAATTTTTTTTTCAAGTTAGCCTTTCCTTTTATTTCTCTTCGGTCTTTTTTTTTTCTGGTTTTTATACAATTTGAAATAATAATTATTGAACTATTTCAGAATTAAATGAACATTGCACGTTGCCGTGTATGAAACTCCTCTTTTTCTTCAAGTCTGGAGTTGAATCTACTTATCGCGTATGCTTTAAAAAGATTGCTCATTAACTTCACCAGCATGAGTTTTTCAGAGGATTCCAAATCTGAAGATATAGAACAGGATGGCTTTGAAATGAAGAACAACTTCGAAAACAAAAACGATGATTTGACAAAAATCACTGCAGCGGAGTCTAAAGGTAAACAAAATTTCCGTGTCTGTACAAAACAGTCACATACAAAACAGTCCAATACAAAACAGTCCGGAAAAGTATGAAAATGAACAAAAAAACAATCCGATACAATACAGTTCGAAAATAGTCCCAATTAAGAATTGTTTTAACAAGCCGGCTGGCCGAGAATTGTCCTTTGTTTAACAAGCATAATGAACAAAATAGTGACCGCCGCAGTCGCGCCAACGTGTTGCGAGCTTGCCAACAGAGGGTAGGACTTTATACGAAATTTAGAGCCGGTTATCGCCGCGAAGCGCGCGCACATCGGCGACCTCAAACCGGACTGTTTTGTATTGGACTGTTTTTTTCCTCCATTACTTGATTTTTGGGACTATTTTGTATTGAACTGTTTTGTATGTGACTGTTTTGTATATGTACCAAAATTTCCATTCTTCATATTGCAGCACTCTACATAGTCATAAAGCAAAAATATTTGTTCGGCGAGCTTCTAGGGGTTAGTTAGTTCAACAGTGCCGAAGTAGAACAAAACCGAAAAGAAAATATTGTTCAATAGTGCCGAAAACTGTTTTTGATGTCTGTTTCTACTCATCCCAAAATCACGGAAAAGGTATTTCAATTCAAATTGATGGAATGTTAAAAGACAAAGTTGGCCATTTTAATTAATGCTCCAAGTTAAACTGTCACACAACCTATTTAATTTTCTTCACACAACTAATTTAGCTTTCTAGTGAACAGTCGGTTGTTTTAATGCTTTATTTTTAATTTTTTCTTTTTATCTCCAACTTGTTTGACCTCGAAACTTTAACGAACAACTGAAATATGAGATTTATAAAAACGCCATGAAAATATAATTTATTTCAAGAAAATTATCAAAACCTATCGACATTAACCAAGGAAGGAGAAAAAGTAAAAAAAAATTCGAGCTGGAAAAATTTTAAAAAATATATGGGTAATTCGAAAAATCCAGAAAACAACGACGAAATTTAAAGAGAATGTAACAAAGGAAACGTAACTAATACCAGAAAATATCAATTTAACCCACCAGACGAAACCAATGAACGCAACCAAGAAATGAATGACCTAGATCGCGAAAAGGTCAAACAAAGAAAACACCTGTTTTTACCAAGAGAGGGCGAAAGCTACGGATTTTTGCAGGGGGACTCAGTAGTGAACAGAATAAATCGAGAACAAATATCAGAAAATGTTTAAGCGAGAAGATTTGTATCTGCTTCCACCCTTCAATTTTCAGCACATAAAAGTAGAGCAATGCTTTGATGTACTTCGAGAATAAAATGTCAAAAAGCCTCAGGGACCTTCTACCGTACTTGCTTGAGATATAGTTGACGGCCAATCAATAATTGTGACCCACCTTACTTTTGTCATTAATGCCTGCATCGATTAGAAAGTTTTTCCATCTGAACTAAAGAAAGCAAATGTCACGCCCTTCAAAAACGATGACCCGTTGGATCCAATCAGTTACTGCCCTATTTGATTAACATGTGCTTTTTCCAAAATCTTTGAAAAACTTCTTCATGCTCAAAAAACAGAACATTTGAACAAAGAACAAATAAGGACGCCATTTGAGTTTGGATTTCGCAAAAAGTTCTCAAGACAAGGTTCATTAATCTACGTTACAGAAAGTATCTGAAAAGAAATTGTTCATGCAGCTTCATTGGATCTTTCAAAGGCTTTTGACTCTAATACACATAATAATTTAGAAAAAAATTACACTGTATGGGATCTTCAATGGAAGCAAAAGCATTATTAAAAGATTTCCTCATTGAACGCTTTAAAAGGGTAAATGTGAATGGAGTTTGTTTTCACTGGATTGAATTTAAAAGAGGTGTGCCGCAAGCCACGGTACTAGATCCTTCTATATCAATGATATACAAAAACTATTATCTCATGAATGTACTTTGGTGCAATATCCAGACGACCGTATGATATATGCATCATCCCTAACTTCAAATGATGCGTTGAACCAGTTTCAAAATTCCTTGCTCGAATTCACTTAATTTTCTGTAGAAAATCAGCTGTATTTGAATGCATCAAAATCAGAAATTTTTGTCAAAAAAATGATAAACAGAATGTGGAAACTGACCGACCTATTATAAATGACCAACACATAGCGATGAAAACTAAATGCAAATTTTTAGGTCTAATTCTTGATTCTAGTTTTTCATTTCAATCTCAAAAAATATTGCAAAAATGGCACAAGGAATCAAAACGATAGATACTATTAGACACCAACTTCCCACATTGTCTTTGATTGCTTTGCTTCCTTGTTTAGTCTTAAGTCATTTAGATGATGCAGGAATAGTTTTGGAGCAAATTATTGCAACTTCAATGATGTTCTTAGAAAAGCAGTTGAACTGGGCTTTGAAACGCACATTTTTCAGATCTAAATTTAAATCATCTGCCGCACTACGGAAAAGTAAATCATTTACCGGAATTGAGAAAAGGATTGAATTAAAATGTGACATATCTATATCAGTATCTTACTAACAAACGTCAAGTTTTTACAAGTGCATTGAGACTACCGACAGCGAATTTTAGAATAAATCAACAAGCAAAGCAAATAATATTTGATAACCACTCCACTGTTCAACTGCTTCTCTACCAAAAAGTTTTTATCTGACATCAAAAAAATGGAATTCGTTGCCCAGTAAATTGCGAAATTTGGCGTTACCACATCAACGTTCAAGAAAAAATTTAAAGAGTTCTTCACTACTGAAATGAAATCTAATCCTATATGTACGCATCCTAACTCATGGTGCGATATCCGTTTTCATTAGTTGATTTGCAATTATATGTTCAGTTTTGACAATGTTTCAATAATTTTATGTTGAATACAATTTTCACCGATGCACAAATATTTTCTAACTTACATTTTCATTCTTAAATTGATGATTTTATTGATGTAATAATTACATCTCATTGTATTCAAACTTGAGTAACTAATCTGGTTTTGTAACTAATATTAACTTTACACTCTTACTATACTAATACATCGACTAATCTGTATAGTAATTGAAGTGTTTTTCTTCTTCTACAAAAAGTCGCCAAGCGCAGTGTCATAAGCTTTGCTGAACCGAAAATTAACTCTGCAATTTTCAAACTTATTTCGGTTTTGCTTCGACAAGTATTTACGCAAAATTGTAAAAAAATTTCAAAACGGAATTCAAAACTTTCAAATAACAGCAACTTTCAGTTCTGTTGAACACATGTCCAGTTTCGGCACTTTTGTCTTTTAGCACTGTTGGATTCGCTTCTTTCTAAACTCGAAGGCTTGTTAGGTTTTACGCGAATTAAGTAGGAGACAAAATGTCAAATTATAGAAGTAACTTGAAATTTTCACCACAATTTTTATGGCGGATTTTGGGTCGAAATTCATTTAGGTGTCATAATAAGTCTGCTGGATCGATTTTCTGGCGGTGTATTGTCTAGCATTAAAATTGGAACATAAAATTGAAAAATTCCCAAATCTATAATCATTATACACTAAAACACAAAAAAAACTTAATCAAGCATTTCACAATTTGTGCGGCACGCAGTCTTACGTATTTTACAGTATGTGCGGCACTCATTGTTCGGTTAAGCCATTACAAGTCGGGGTATGATTGATTTCATTTTTAGTGTGAAGAAACTTTATTTGCTTGCTGGTTGCACAATTTTTCAGTTTTCTACATCTCAGAAATGCAAGTTGCGATTGGGAAGGATTATGATTGTTGGTTTGTATTTCTGAGAAATAAAGCTATCTTAATTAAGCTAGCCGATACATTGTCGTGTTTTCCAACTTTTATGCTAGTCGAGCTTTATGCTAATGGAGAGGTCGCCAATTTTTCATTTAATCGTTAGCATATTTAAGAATAGTTGTTTGTTACTGGTTGATTTGAAAAAACTTTTTTTTGTCAGTTCTCATTTCACTTTTAATTAAATTTTTGATGCCATTCATTTGCAATAGGCAGCGAAAATTGGCCAAATCGGAATGATAAATTTCATTTAAATTTTGTCTAACGAATCTTAAGCATTTGACGTATACGAGTTTCAAACATTCAGTAAATCACATTCGGACATAGTGAAAATTGTTGCGAAGCTTCAAAGAACTTATATCACAGTCAGATTTTGTCTCAACGCTACCCATTTTGTATGATTTTGTCTCAACGCTACCCAGCTCCCTTAAAACGCAAGAAATTTTTCGAGCTCGATATTTGCTGTACGAATGTTTTTACTGGGCGAGACAGAAAAAGCAAAGTTAAAAATCTTTGTTTCAATGCATTTTGACTTTTCAGCTTTGTTTTCCATTTTCGGTATGATTGGTTTTGCTGTTATCTAGGAAGCAATTTCGGTCAATTAGTTTGATTTTGGTATACCATGAAAAGTTACGTATCACAAAGAAATGGGTTGGAGTGAATTTTTTCATTAAAGCCCTTTCACTCGTGAATACACCAGTATTAAAATATTTATACTTTTTGCCGTGGAAAAACGTTGGTCTGAATATATATTTTTTACTGATTGAGTAGCCGAATTGTGGCAAGTAAAATAGTGTAGAGCGAACTCATTGAACGTAAGATCGTAAGTCTGCTTAAATTTTTTCGGCTTAGGTGCCACATCACATTTTTTATTTTGCTTGGCATGTTTTCCTAGACACCCTGTTTAGATAAAAAACTGATATGGTTATGTATGGAATTGGATTTTTAATTTCTTTATGTTTTCAAAGCTTTTAATTTTTGTTTCACTTTTTGCGACAATTCCAGTTTTTCTGAAAATCTACCTTAACGATATTGACAGAATGCATAATCTCTTTGTCTCTTTACTTTACCCGATTGTCTACAGCCTTCGAAAAAGTTTGTTGGGGAATATTTGACCTATATTTTGGATTTTTCTCGTTTTCCTCTAAAACCATCCCAAATATAAGATTTTGGGCTCAATGGATAGAACCTTTTGGGGGAAGCTCCCTTGTGTGAGAGGCTACGCCTAATATTCGTTACACTAAAATTAATGGACCTCGGAAAAGTCAAAGTTTTGGGCAAAGGCAAGTTTTTGAAATTTTGAAATAACCTGTTTCATCCCGCATCAGTATTTGAAATGAAAAAAAAGTACATATCAAACAGGTACTCCCATCCCAGCTTTAGCTGGACACCTAGTTCTCTTTTATCGAGACATACGAAAATTTTGGTTCGAGTTGTTTTTCATCGTTTTTCACTTTTTTCGACTTCTATTGCATTTATGCTTGTGTTGCTTCGCAAGTGGTGCAAAGCTCCGTCTCTCTGTAAGATTTTGTCTAGACCTTTCATTACACCAAGCACAAAAATGACACAAATTTGAAAATGAAAGAAAAAAATACGTTTTTTAAGTGATTCATTAATGTGTTAAGAAATTATGCGCTACTCGCACAGCACTACTCTTGTTCCGGTTTTGTTTTTGAATTTTGTTATCTGGAAATTAATTTACGGGAATGCAGAACGTAGCTAGGTAGCCTCTCAAGTAATGATAGACAATAAGCACAAGTTCTACTTCAGATCAATAATTTACTGATTTAAAGCATAGACTGCAGGTCTATAAATTAGAGGTTTCAAATAAAATCTAATGATCAAGTTTAATGTAGTATCTCATGTTCGTACCAAACTTGTTATGCTTAGTAAATTTAGGCTTTAATGATGACAGAAGTGTCAATTTAATCAGCAGCGGATGGGGGGTCGAACGCCCCCTCCCTCAGGGATTCGACCCCAACATTTTCCAAAAAGTGCCTAAAAATTGCCTTTTTTGGCCTGTTTTTTTTCCAAAATTTGCCTGCGGAGCAGAAAATTGGGTCTTTATAGTAATTCGAGAGAGCTCAGAAAATCAATTTGTTCCACCTGAAAAAAAAGTCGATAAATTTTCGAAATTTTTTGTGAAAATTCCCCACCTCGCGACATTTAATCACTGTTTTTTTTGCCGCCATTGAAGCATGAATAGATCCAAAAATTACCAGCTTAGGATAAAAACAAAAATACATTCTCGAATCTCAAATCTTATTTCAATTCTTTGAAACGAGTCTCGAAAAAATAGCTGCTTACCCATGTTTGAATTTTAGCCTCTGAGAAAGTGATATCCTTGTTTATCAGATCAGGATCCAGGACCGGTGATTTTTTTTCGACGACTGCAAGTGGGGAAAATTTTTGTCCTCAGGCGTGTTTTATTTCTTTTTGGTTTTCTTTTTTTTTCAATCAGGTACCATAAATAATCATCAGAATAGATCAAGTGATAAGTGATATTGGTAGCGATAATTTTTTTCTCGGGTAAGCTGGTTTTGGAAGCTTCATTCAGTTTTTCACAGAAGCGTTATTGGTCATATTTTTGCTTGTGTATGCAAAGTGCAACTTCGCCTCTGTGTCAAAAAATTACACTCAAAATGAATGTGTTGCTAGAGAAGGTGAAATCAGCTACAGGTTGAATTTCATAGTTTCAGTCGAAATAAATTACAAAAAGATACAAATGCTTGTAATTATTAGCGCATTTTTAACAGTGTTTGTTAATCAGTTTGATTTTTCCTAAATTGATTTACATGCAATTGTCATATGGGCTATGACTAGCCAAACAGATATGTTCAATTATATTGCTTTGATTAGTTTTATCGAATTTGTTGCTGACTTTACATTTTTCGGCAACATATTCACTTTGAGCCAAAATTTTTGGAGTTGATTCAAAATTTCGGAATGGGGGTGGATCGAACAAATTATTTTCAATTTTTCATTCCCTTGTTTGTGTTAGAATTGACAATGTATCTGCTGTCATTTGCACAGATGTTTTCATTTCTGTGAAAGCTCATCTTTGATTAAGTCTGTTGGTATTGTTCAGACAAATCCAAAGGTGGACGAAGTCAGTCGCTGCCACGAGAAGTTCGGGTACGAGAAGGTACCAGAAATAGAACTTCGGGCGCAGAAAGAACTGGTGATGGCCACAGTATTACGGAGACCAGTTCTAATTCGGATTATTCATCAAACGAAAGGCCTTGCGATGAAAAACATCAAGCTCAACAACCAAAATCCTCTCCAAAACCAACAGCATCTGTCGATTATACACAGTATAAAAGAGTCGAAAGAGAAACGGCGAGCAAGCCTACGCCAGACAGAAATTTATCAAATATCTTAATGGCTGGCGTGGCTTTCGCTGTAATTTTGCTTTTACTGCACTGCTATCCACACATAATTCAGCTGCTCCCAAGTCCAGAGCCACCGAAACGTCTGAGTGAAATAAAAAGTCTATATCCGATTGAGAATGATGATCACTATTTCAAGCAATTGACAGGCCTCAAACGAGATTATCTTTACACAGGTGACATTTTGGTGCTAACTTTTGCCGGCTTCATATCGGGAAAATCGGAAGAGCAGAATATCACGCAGTGGAAATTTCGTAAATTCAAATCGGAAATTATCAAATCATTCTTGAACGCAACATCGGAACCAAGATCTATTCTAGCTAATGGAGACATGAGCTCCAAGGAATTTGATGGAAAAATCAAAATTGCTCGAGGATTCGAAAATAATCTTATTTGGGTGGAAGATTTTCTAAAATTGCAAGCTATGCCTCTTCAATTATTGAGGAAATACACTGACGCTCATGCTTTGAATGCAGAGAAAGACACGCTGGTCGTTCTATCTTTTGAAGTGGAAAATGAAAATGGTAATTGGGAGTTAGAAGTCAGTGATTACATGCGCAAAGACTTTGGTCAGAAATTCATTCGTGATGAAGTGGAGCCGTACTTAGCAAGGGTTGCACTCAATATTATTGAGTATCGCCCGCGTCCTGGTGATTAGATGAACATGCATGAATATGCTTGTACTTCGCTTGATAATTCCGTCTGCTGAATCGATTGTTGTTTTGTGATATATTCGTCTGAAAACGCACACTTGATTGTACAAACTATTTGGGATGTTATAACTATTTTCCCCCTTGTAACAAGCGGAGATTATAAGGTTCAAAATTCGCATAAGCTTAGCCCCTGAATGAGTTATTTTCAGAGTGAAAACTCTTTATATGTACTTTGGGGGCTGTTAACATGATATACCGTTTGTCCCTGCCACAGGTGGAGTGAATACGAGCAAATAGTTTTTGAGGCGATTCATTTAGGATTCATTAGGCTAAATCAAGTTCCTTTTAATATCCCTGAAATTGCTCTGAATATATCCTGCTTGATGCGTGACCCAATTATTATATTTATACAATACCGTCTTGTTTTTCTATCCGTTCGTTTCGCTCCAGGGGTGGATCTAGGATTTTCTCGAAGGTTGCAATGACGGATTTTTGAACAGTTTTCAACTATTGACATTTGTACAGGTCGACCAAATTTTTGTTACAACCTTTGAACACTATAACGACCCTGTTTTGACAAATTTTTCTAGACACTTTTTGCAAGGTTTTGACGTCGCGTTTTTTCGGCGCACGATCCGTTTTCAAATTTCCATATATTAGCGCTTAATGCTCCCATAGAAAAATTTGAGTCATAAAGTAGCTCTGAAGGGTGGGTTCTTTAAGTCGTAAGAGGTTTAAATCCCTGAAGGGGAGGGGACTCGCGCGTCCTAAATCCGCCCTTGCTTTGCTGTTAGTTATCTTATTTCTTTTTGAAATTATTTTCATTTTCATCATTTTGGTGCTATAGAGAAGTGCTTCAAAACCACTAACTTTTACTAGTTACATGTGACATTTTTTGCTACTGCTAAAGATACCTGACTTATGAAGGGTTTTCTATTTATTGTTCGAATTTAGTTTTTAGAAGAATTTATTTCTTCAGTGAACATAATATGATACATCAAAATAAATGACACTAAATTAAATCGACATATCTTTTTCATTATGTTCAATCATAATCAGCAGAGCAACATGGAGAGGATACGATTAAGGCACACTAAGGTCCTCATTTAATGCCTACTCTTAAATTTATTTTAGTTCCAAAAAAAAACTATCCAAAAAGAACTATTTTTGTTCTAAATAATCATAGTTTTTTTCTTGTTTTCCCTAATTTTTTTCAAGGTATTAAATGCTCATTGCAACACAATGGTCACAAACTACAATTTTTTTTTCCAATTCTGTGCTTCCTAAGATTAAAGGGGATTATTTTTCCAAGTATTTTTTTGCGTTAGAAAATTCAGAAAAACCGTGAAAACATCGATATCTCAACTAGATGGAGTAAAAAGTCCATGTTTTTAGTTTAGATTCGCAACCCCAATTGAAATACCCGGCAACATCCAAATTCTTGTAAAAAATTAAGTAAAATTATTTATTAAATATAAAGCGGTTAAGTTCTGAGTTTCCTACAATGTAATTGTTTTTTAATTAGTGCACAAAAACAAAAAAGTTGCTGACTGTTAAATTGCTAAAATTATCTGGTGTTAAACGATTTTTGCATAAAGCGTTGAGAAGCTTTGCTCCTTGGTTCTGCAGCGATCCAGGTTTGGTTTTCTTCAAGTATGCAGATATTGAAGGGATTGAAACTACGGGTATTATAAGCTAATTCATTTTCTGCAAAAATTTGATTCTACAAGTTAGTTGCATGCAATTAGTTAACTAATTGACGACAAAATTTTCGTAGATCGTTCGATATATTTAGTAGATCGATCGATTTTAGCAGTTCGAAAGTAATCAACGTGGTTTTAATGGTATTTAAAGATAATTTATTCGAGATTAACCTAGCATTTGTATTCAACACATCGGAATGAAACTCAATAAGATTTGAACTACACGCAATCAAATTGGTGTTATCCGGCAAAGAAACGAGTTCGTACGTTTCAGTTGCATTCGGCATATCATTAACCTATTTGAGGAAAAGGAGCGGACCCAACAGAGCCTTGCGAAACACCCAGATTAATCGACAGTCAGTAACATTTTTTATTCTTTATCTTAGAACATTGGCATCTATCCGATAGATAGCTATTAAACCATTCAAGAGAAATACCCCGGATTCCGTATAGTTCTAATTTTTTCAGCAAGATTTTATGATCCAGAGAATCAAACGGTTTACTTTTGTCAACAAAAAATTGCTTAGCAATGTTTTACCATAAACGAATCTTAGTTTTTCTGTTAATTCGGCTAGCCCGTCGATACTTGCTTACTTTTCGCAAAAATTGAATTGCTTATTATAAAAAAGGCGAAATTTCGCTAAATAATTGTAAGTTCGCGAACACCTTTTTTTCGAAAATTTGGCTATATTTGATTAGCAGAGAAGTACATCGGTAATTATTTACAACAGCTTTACCATCAGCTTCATGAAGTGGTATTACTTTGGCGTATTTAAGTTGAGAGCGAACAGAACTAGTTTGAATTGAGAAGTTGATTATAAATGTCAATTAAGAAGCTATAACATAGAAAAATACTCATAAGAGTTGATTGCTGTTATTGTCAACTTCAGCTGATTTTTCGGCTTAAGGCTGTTTTCCATCTTCATAACTTCATGAAACGTACACGAACACAGATACAATGTTTGCAAAGCACTCGCAATTGTTACTATTGGCTCAGATATTTGTATTTGATCAGCCAGATTTGATCCTAATGAAATAAAGTATTTATTGAACGCGTTTGAATTGGTTGATGAACATTTGAACCATTAATACACAAGTTTGTGACCGTTGCCGACTTCTCATTTCCATCTGTTATTTATTTTAGAACTTGAACATTTTCCGCGAGTCTCTAAAGCGATTATTAAATTTTTTGTGCTAAAAGTCTTTGCTAATCTAGTTAACTGTAAACTTGATCACATTTTCTGTTCTTGAATCAAGTTTGCGTTTTTTATGGCATCTGTTTTGTCAAATTTTCATGCTTTATTTACATATTTTTCATACAAATAGTACTTTCAATTGCTTAAGTAAGCCAATATCTGCATTTGGTTTACGGAATCATTTCAGTGGTTGCCGAGGCGCAAATTTTTCTAAAGCAAGCATTATACTACTTTGAAATTGTCGATATGCGCTATCTATCAATATCTTTAAGTCTTATTAGCTTCGATTTCTCTAATCTTCCCTTCAAATTAGGAAGAAAAAGGCTATTTTGTTTTGATTATCTAGGAAATTTAGGGAGACAGAGTAATAAGCAGAATGGTTCAAGGGCAGAATGGGTCCAAGTGCATAAAAACTAAAAAATGTCGACTTTTATTGGTTTTTAAGGGCTAACTGATAAAAAAAATTATTATAATCGTAAAAAAAAACACAAAAATGAGTAAGTTCAATGCATTAATTGAATAATTTTATTGTTTTTGCGTGAGTGTTTTTTTTAAAATCTTGTTAAATAACACAAGTTATGCTTATAATATTCGTTTCTTTAGTAGTATTGTCAATTCTTATACTTAATTGTATCCCTTTGCTAACAGTTGAGTTGAATTTAGGATCTAAAATAACGGGGTACTGATCAGAGATACATTCCTCATTGAGAATAGATATATCAGCATTGGATAAATTGCGAGTTAAAACTTGATCAGGGCAGAGATTCTCGCGTATCAGAAACCCTTGTTGGTTGACAATTGAAGGTTTCAACCATTTTCAATCAATTTTTTCTATAATGTTTTTTAGTCAAAAATTTGTTCAATGTTTTTTAAGAGTCACGAACAAAATGAATACTCTTACACAGTTTTTGGTGATTTTTTTGTTTTTTTTTTCAGGAAAAAGTCTTTAAGTTTGTCTCGCTTAGATTTAATTTTTTGCGGTTTGAACTTTTATTTCTTTATTCTTTTCAAATTCAGTTCGTTTCTTTTGTTAAAAGGAAGACAAATGCCACAATCGAACAGTGAAAGTGTAAAAGTTTTTATAAAACTTGATCGACTTCTAATTTCGAAAATGCAATTTAATTATCAGATTTCGCTGCGAAATAAATTTTTTTTACTGCTTCCGTTTTTTCAAGTTAGGTTAATTTTATCAAGAAAGTGTCAATCATAATATCTAAGGGAAAGCTCTAAGGCCATTTATTCTTTTCTTTGAAATTTGAAGTTTTTCAAAAAGCAATTCGTTTTTCTACTTCTTGCGTTCTTAATTTTTTTTCTTAGTCATAGTTACAGTGCTTGATTGAATTTTCAGACATATCATCATGGACATAGAAAGTGCAATATATGACCCGAAGTTATTAGATAAATGTATAGAACATGTTGAGGGGTTTGAAGGCTTGTCAAAAAATTTCCAAATCAGACCGCTGGAATTGGACGATTTCTCAAAAGGCTACTGCGATTTACTTTCTCGATTGACCCAAGTTGGAGATGTAAGCATGGAACAATTTCAAAGCCAGTTCAACGCTATGAAAAATTGTAAAAATACTTATTTCATCACAGTTGTGGAAGATTTGGCAGAAAACAAAATAGTAGCGACTACCACTGTGGTCAAAGAGTTGAAGTTTATTCACGAAACGGGTACGAGATGGCGCATTGAAGACGTTGTTGTTCACGAGTCGTGTAGAGGAAAAGGACTTGCAAAACTTCTAATTAAGGTCGGTGTTAAAATAGCAGAGCATGTCGGAGGTTATAAGGTGTCGCTAGAATGCACTGAAGATTTGATTCCATTTTACTCCAAGTGTGGTCTGAAAACGAACAAGAATCAATATTTGGAACTGCGTTTTTGAAGGGGCAGTTTAGAAACATCTCTTGGTTAATAGATCATTAAGTGAGCGCCGAGCGCGAATCAGCAGGTGGATGGGGACATATTCCAATAACTTCAGAGAGCCTTCAAGGCCAAGCAAAGCGAATAGTTTTTTCAGGGGCACTGAAGTATTTACTCTAAAACACTGGTCAAAGGGGACTATTCAACTGAACTTATTTCCTCCATATTCATGTCAAATATTCTGTAAATTTTATTTCATAGTCATTATTTGTAAAACAAGAAAATATCGGCGTTACATTTCTGAAAAGCACTATTATGAAATACCCATCAACAGCGTCAAAGGACGAGAGCGTCAAGGTATGCCAAGGTCTCAATGAAGAGCGACATGAGCTGCTGAATACATAAGAGTTAAAGACAATACTTAGAAAACATACTTGATAAATAAACTAAAACTAACAACAACGATTTTTTCAAACAAGTCTATAGACGGCAGCGAGTAGTGTCAGTTGAATTCGAACAATGGACTGTAACCCAAAACAATGATGGGCTTGAAGAATTCTGAAATCATTTAACTTCGAAGAGAATGTCTCTGTACGAAAATTCAATTGAAAGCTGATAGTAGTGGCGTGCACAGAAATTTTTCTAGAGGCGGGAGGTTCAAAATGTTAGTATATTTTGCTCCCCGCCCTCAAATTTATTGTGGATATTCGTCAACCCAAAATTTTGAGGATGGTCAAGTAAAAGTGGGTGTCGGAAAATAGTTCCGAAGACCCCTTGGGAAAGTTTTGGAATCAATTGAAGAAGAGCGCCCGCTCTCGGCACGCTTC